CGTGGGGCCCTCGCCCACGTTCTGGATCTCCCCGAGGGCTCTCCGCTCCACGCTCGTGTCCGGCTGACGCATCCGACTCCGATTCCTCTTATTTATCGCTTGTTTACATAGCGCTTCTTCTTTGCAAAAGAAGAGAAAAGTGGTATTTTAGTTCTTCTGTTTTTCTTAACTCGCCCCATTATATTTCTTGGTATTTACAACCTCAGATACAAACGTTAAGAGGCAAGGAGCACACGGAACAGAGCAGGAAACAGGCAGCAATTCCATGTGGGCGTCAGCACAAAGCTCTAGGCTCAAACAACACAACTGAACAGAAACCAAATTTTAATGCCCAAGTACCACGAAATCAACCCGTCTTGTCGACAGTCCCCCTCTTAAATCAACCTGCATCTTAACTCTCGTCAGTGAACAGAGGAACCAAGAAGCGGTCTGATTATTCTGGTACACAGAATGAAAACGAAAGCTGGAAACACCTTCTCCAAAAGATCTTTACACACAGCGATTCTAACACAACTGCTGTTCTAACCATGACGCCCATAAGAGGGCAAAACCTCAGTGGCTCAGGATTAAATCTGCCCTCACCTCACAAGTGAGATTCTCCCCGCAGAAGGAGGAGTCACGTCATCGCTTGACTTACGCTACAGAAATACGTCAAATTTCCATCAAAGCACAGCAGGCCTCTAATTAGCACGTGCGGTGACGTGCAGCCCCAAGGTGCCACTCGAAGCCAGATTCTCTACAGCAAGATTGCTCAACACAAATTTCAGAATGGGGACAACTTTGCAAGAGACGCTGAGGGGAATTCACAAGTATTGGTAATATTTTATTTCCTAAGCTGAGTAGTCTGTACGGGGACTACTTCAATATCAACCTTCACAAACCTTTTACAAACGGTTACGTGTACTTCTGCGCACGTCACTGTTGTGTAACAAGGAAAAGTTAATTTCTGACGTGGGAGAAAGCAGAGGCACTCCATCCGTATCCTGTCTTCACTAGCTCTCGAGAAGCTTAGCGTAAGCTGTGTTACTTTGTTGGATAACTTGAAAAAGAATGTTTTCAGGGACAAAGGGATTGAGAGTTGATCTTCAGAGGTAAGCAAAGTTTGCCTTCAGCAGTTTCTTTACCTCTAAAACTTTCTGAATCACCTTATGGCCTCTTGCTACCAACTCAGTCCTCTGCCTGTGTGCAGACTGTCCCCTAAAGCTTTTCGCAGAGTTCAGACTCCTGCCCCATTCACGACGTATTAAAAAAAAAGAAGGTAAGTGCTCTCAGTAACTTGAAGGCAACTGAAAACGTATGGAAATCTACCATTTTCCTGTTTCCGGAGCGGACTGTAAAGAAAAAGCAGCCCCTAAATTCAACATTTTCATGCCGAGTGTAAATATGATGTTCGAGAACTACATTCAGTACCTTGTAATAGCCTTTAATGAAAAAGAATATGAAAACGAGTGTGTCTCTGCATGACTGGGACGTTGTGCTGCGCACAAGGAAGTGGCACGCTGTAACGACTGCACTTCAACTAAAAATGAATAAATAACTATGACGTTCCCAATTCCTAACAGTGTTCAAAGTGAGGTGACCGGCGGGTGGGATGAAGGGTCCCCAAGATGTAAAAGGCCTCCCGAGACATTCGCATGTGTTTACAAACCTCCTGGCCCTCTCCACCAGCGGCCAGAAGGACCCCGAGGGCAGAACTCAGGCGGGGGGGGGGGGGAGCGCGGCTGGCTCCCGCTGTATCCGCTTACCTCCTACTTTAATCCAGACCTGCTCCGGCAAAGCTTTGTTTCTACCGCCCAAAGTCTGTTTAGTGGATTCAATTTCTTGCTGGTAACAGAAAGAAAACGCCCGGGGCAATCCAGCATCCTGATGCTTGGCAGCTTCAAGTACAGAACAGGAGTTACCAGAACTCTGGAAAAAATGAAGCGACAGGAACTTCATCAACACTCGACTTCATCTCCTCTTTATCGCACAAGTAAAACGCACGTGAACAGAAGTAACATCAAAGCTATTAATACGAATCTGCAGAACTTTGGGTGCACTGAGGATTTTACAACATCGCCAAACCACACATTCTCGGTTTTAAAAAGTTACTGAGCTCAATGAATGGAAAAAAAAATCCTTGAGAGGGACCTACCTAAAAGAAAATTCATCCATTTAATACAGATGAGCAAAGCTTCGCTGATCGTCTTCCCTACCTGCGTTTGTGAGAGGTTAGAGTTCCCACCAGCAGAGCACGCGTTCGCAGTGAACAGCGGGCACGTAAACTGCAGAGCAGTCGTCGCAGCAGCAGTTTTATTTTTCACTAAGGTCGTACATTTGTTTTGTTGCTGATGAAGAGGAACATTCATTAATTCAGATGGATGTCGAATAAGAGTTACCAAACTGCCAAGACAAAAGAGACCCAGAAACACATGATGCGTGTGTGGCAGGTAAGTTCCCCTGAAACACTGCAGTCATTATCAGTCGCTAATGCTGACATTCGATTTTCTCGCTAGGACCTCCAATATGCCCGATGAACACACCCTCATCATGGGAACCTCGCAAAACAAAACTCAACCACGGTTGCAGGGGACGAGTTCAAACTTTCTTCTTCCTCACCCTGGAAGCGGGGGCTGTGGCCCCTCTTGGTTAGCTCCCTTCCCATCACACCTCTGACACCAATCTTTTTCTGGCCAGCCTCCAAAATCTGCTGACTACGGACAAAATGGGGAAACTAGAGTGGGGACAGACAGAAAACTGAGGCGGCATCCCAGCGGACAGGCTTCTCCTCCCAGCAGCTGTTGGAGAGAGATCACTTGTGGGCTGGCGGGCTGGCTGCAGAATGAAGCTGTGTTACACACTCAAAGCCTCACAATATGGCATCTTTTGCTCCTGCATCTGTGCGTGCGCAGGGAGGTCAGCCCTAACCCCAGTCAATGTGGGGGTGGGGGGCAGAACCCTCTCCTGACCTTTGGGGCAAACCTCTGGTCCTCAGGAGCACCTGTACAGTTATCTTAACGCATCTCTTCCACACGCAGGTGCTGACGCAGAGTGCAAACCACAAAAGGTAATGCTCTGGGTTATTCACTTAACACCTGCTTGCTCGCTGTGCCTGCACGGAGCACACAAACTTTCAGGTCAGCCGCCCCGAGACCCAGTAGGACCCACTCCCTGTTAAGATGCAGGCTGCAGTGAGGCCGCTGCTTCTCTGCACAAGATCCTGGTCTACACTCAGACGGAGGCTAACGCTTCTCTGCAGGACCCCAGGCCTACACCCAGACCCCGCGGGGCCTGCTCCCTGGGGGATGCACCCACTTGTTGAGCGCCACGCCGGGCTCGGGGGGCTCGGCGCCGCGCGGG